ACAGGGGTCGTTGATTCATAACAGTAGCCAAATTACAGTGATGAAGTAGCAATGAAAATAATTTTATGGTTGGGGGGTCACCACAACATGAGCTGTAGGAAAGGGTGGCAGCAAGGTTGGGAACCACGGCCTTAGGGGCGCTCAGCTCAGTTCAGCCAGGAGGAGCCTCAAAGGGAGGGCCATCCTCCACCCCCACTAGTCCCTAACCTTAGAATCAACATTAGAACCCAGGGATTTGGGCCCTCAGGGGTCCCTGCAACCCGCCTCCGGGCAGTGTATACAATGCTCACTGGCCGGCCCGTGAATAGCCCTTAGGGGGTCCCTGTGTCTACACGTGTGTACACCCAGACCTCAGAAGTGTCCCATCGCCGATCCCCAAACCCCGAGGCCCAGCACCCACGTTCCCAGCACTGGGCCGCAGAGGCGGCGGCGTGGCCCGGCGGGCTCCCCGGAGGCGGCGGCAGCGGCTCAGCTGGCAGTGCAGGAACTGCAAGGAGGAGTTGAAGACGGGCCGCAGAAGGAAGCTGAAACGCGCGGGGTGGGCGGCACCGAACCGGGGCGGCGGCGCAAAGAGCACCGAGGTGTCCGCGGGGCAGCCCCCACGCAGCAGCGCCAGCGCGGGGCCAGGGGCAGGCCGTGAGGATGGTGTCACTGAGCAGCGATGCAGCGCCAGGCCCCAGCGCCGGGAGGGGCGGATCAGGGCCGCCTGGGGTGCAGGGGGGCCATCAGACTCAGCCACCATCGCCCCACACCCTCCCGCCCCAGGAGGCCCTGGGGCCGCACCTGTACGAACACTCGGCTGTCGGCAGGCACCTCGAGCGGCCCCGCAGGACGGGGGAAGGCATCCTCAGCGTCTGACAGTTGCAGGCTGAAGAGGGGTCGGCGCAGCCAGGACCCAGGAGCCGCTGGGAATGGGGGTGCTAGTAGGGGGCACTGCCTCTTAGGTCCTCTGGGCAAGTGACCTTGTCGCTCCGAGATGATGCATGCTCAGTTGGTAGAGATCCAGAGCCTGACTCTGACCACCCCACAGGTAGGGCTGCCCAGCAGTTGGAGCTGCGTAGCTCCCCCACCCCACCCCCATGCCCCTGAAAAACGTGGCAGGGGCTCTGTAGCCAGCTAAGGGCCTGGTGGTGGTGGTTAGACGGGGGGTGGGGTGGGGGAGGGGTGTCATAGACCTCCTTGAGGCACTTCACTCTCTAGGGGTATGGGCTTCTCTTGGGGTACATAGACAGGGTTAGGAGGGAATGCCGGCCAACCTTTCCCTTCCTAGAGGAACGGAGATGTGTCCCTAAGGGAACAGTTAAAGTCACCAGGCCACCAAGACCTGGGGCTTCAGTTTGTCCAGGTTCCTCGCCAAGGCTGAGGGAAAGAGGCTAGCCAGGCTGAGGACTGCAGGGGTGCCTTAACTCAGGTGACTGAATCCTCACCCCCAGATGCCTGCCCTCAGAGGGTCCTGGAACCTTCCGCACGTTCCTCATTCCTGAGCAGCAGTCCTCTAGACTTCCTATCCCCTGCCGCTCACAGGTGCTAGGACATCTATGTCAAGCTAGAGCCCAGGTGGAGGCCCTGCCCCCAGGTGTTGGGGGAGGGGTCCCACGAGGAAGAGTGGTCCTAGCCCATATGTACGTACCCAGCAGCTCGCTGCGCAGGGTAGAGGTCCCCTGGAGCAGGGCCAGCAGCAGGAGCCTGGCAGGCAGCATGCTGTGTGGCAGACTCGGCATGTGTACAGCCAGTAAGAGGCACCTGCTCAGGAAGGCACGGGCAGGCGGCCCTGGCCTTGGCAGGGAGTGGGGGCAGGGGATTCAGGGGCCATTAGAGCCTGAGCCCAAGGCCTACCAGGGATTAGGGCTCCCACTGGCCACCCTGTGGCTGTGGCTATGGACACAAACACACACACCCAAGCCAGCCAGGGGACATTGGAGTCTGAGCCCAAGGCCTACCGGGGATTAGGACACACACAGGCTATGGACACACACACACACACACACACACACACACCCACCCCTACCCCATGCCAGCCCATGAGTGCAGACTTCAGACCAGCTCCATGGGGTTTCCAGTGCTGTGACCTTCCAGAAGCAGATAGACAGGCATCTCAGGGTGAGCTTGGCCCTCTTACCTTCCAGTTAGTCCTGGGCATCTTGTGCGCCCCAAGACTCCCCTCCTTGCAGCCACCTGATAAACCTCACTTTACCAGGCATGTCCCACCCCCCAGGCTGGGTCCCTTCATACCACACAGCACCATGTGGGGGAGGAAGAGGTGGGGTTTTATTCTCAAGCGTCTAAAGGTTTACAAACATGGGGATTTTGTTTTAAAAAGGGTCAGGGCAATACTGGCGGCCTGAGAAGGGGGTTGGGGCCACAGGGCCGGTGCCCCGAGGCCCCTGCCCACCCAGCACCCGCCTCTGCCCAGTCTGGAGGGCCGGCTGGTGAGCAGTGAAGGATGGGAGAGGCAGGGAGGTAGGGGAGGGTGGCTCCCCAAAGTTCCTGCTTAACACTGAAGGAGCAGCAGGGACGGGATGGAGGGTGACACACACACACAAAACAGAAAAGTTAAATAAAAACCAAACTAGGCAGCTGGGCCTCAGGCCCTGCAAGCCCTGATGCCCCGGGGCTGGGTCCGTCCCTCACAAAGGGGACACGGGGCCAGCGAAAGGCAGCCTCCCCTGCCCCAGGAGCGAAGTGAGGACAGTGGGCACCGCTTCTCAGACATATGGCACCAAGAGGGACCCAGGGACAAGGACACGGCCTGCCCTGCTGCCTTTGGTGTGGGTGGGGCTTTGTTTCACTATTTTGTTTCGTTGTCCACTTGATTTGCATGCATCACCCACAAAAAGGGCCTGTGCTCCGGCTGCTGCGGCAGCCTGGCCCTTGTGGCCTGGTGTGGGGCTGGCCAGCTCCGGTGAGCCAAGGGAGGCTCAGGGGCAAGCCAAACCCGGCCCCCACTGGCTCCGACACTCCTACCTCTGTCACTGTCCCACATCCTTGAGCCTCCCGCCCATTCTCTGTGCCCTCCACTTGCCTCTCTGGGTCCCACTACGGCCACCGGCCACCTCCCTGCAGCCCCTGCTCTATTCTTCTCATCCACCCATGACCACTATCCCCCCCTGGCTCCCACTGCCCCACCCTGAGGTCCTCAACCCACCCCAAGCTGTGGTCAGACTACAGCCCTGCCCAGAGGGAGCAGTGGTGCTGCCACCCCACGGCCCAGGGCCA